ATAATGCCTTCAGGGTCCATCCATGTTGTCACAAATGGCAAGATTTCCTTTTTATGGATGAATAACTTTCCATTGTTTATTGTAGTATTCCTTACACACACACACACACACACACACAGACACAGACACAGATATGGCACATTTTCTTTATTCATTCATCTACTGATGGATAATTAGGTTGCTTCCATGTCTTGGCTATTGTCAGTAAAGCTGAAATGAACATAGGGGTGCATATATATTTTTTCGAGTTTGTGTTTTCACTTTCTTCAGATGGATACCCAGAAGTGGAATTGCTAGATCATATGGTAGTTCTCTTTCTAATTTTTGAGGAACCTCCATACTGTTTTCCATAGTGGCTGCACCAGTTTACATTCCCACCAACGTGTACAGGTTTCTTTTTTCTCTACATTCTTGTCAACACTTGATATTTCTTGTCTTTTTGATAATAGCCATTCTGATAGGTGTGAGGTGATATCTCATTGTGATTTTGATTTGAATTTCCCTGATGATTAGTGATGTTGAGCACCTTTTCATGAACCTGTTTGCCATATATATGTTTCTTCTCGGTTTCTACATCTATAAAATGAGAAGGTGTAACTAAAGTCATTTATAAAGCTTTGGTAGTGGTTGGTATGTATTTAGGTTTATAAAATAGATGTGCTTATTTTTTTTAATTAAATTGAATGTCAGAATTTATTAATCATTTTAAGGAAAACATTTTACAATAATATTACATAAAAGAAAAATGGTGTGTACCCCCAATGTAACATGTAAATGTTTAAATTTCTTGATCTGGAAATGTTTTCTATTCCATGGTAATTTTCTACAGCTCATTTTAACTGGGAAACCAATTATCTGTAGAATTTTTCATAAATTCTATCATCCAATTTTTTTTCGATTGCCAGAATTTTCTGAAACAAAGTAATTCCATTGAAAATTGTAAAATTTCCCTAGAGTAAAAACTTAAAATTGCTAATCGTTACAATTACTAATAAAAAAGTAACAAAGATTAAAGGAATATATTCTATGAAAGGATAAGGAAATCACTTACCTAGGAACCTCACAAATCTGAGTGCAGTTCCAAAACATACACATAACCTAATGTGCTACATTCACAGGAGAACCCTTAACACATCGCATGTGCCTTCTTTACTCTTGTTTTGGACATAGTTCTTATCATCTTGATTATATATATTTAAATTGCATAACCAAACAGAAGTATCATTATGATGTGTGAATTACAAATCAGAAAAGAGCAATTTAACCAGATTTATTTGTGATTTATCTATTCAAGCAGTTGAAAGATAGGAGACCTAATTTATCAAATACTACCATATTTTAGTTCTCAGGTGCTTGTGATTATAGGAGAGCAGGGTTCAAGTAGTTGTTTCTGCAGCTGGTGTCTTTACACAGAAGTGGAGCGGCCTCGGGTGGTGGGGGGAGGGGCTGAATGTTCTGCTCCAACCTGCAGAACGGTAGGTGCGATAGGGAGGTAACTGTGAGAGTTGAGTGAATTTAAAGGAATAAGTACTAATTCATTCCTTCTTCCATTCTGGTGGGAGGACCCGCTTCTGTAATCGAAGTTTTCCCCGACCTTGAAGCAGTGCAGAGAGGGTAGGGAGCTTGGAGGTGCTTTGTGGAGAAAACTAATTTTTAAATTTTCTTGGTGCGTTGGTACAGGAAGAAGTCTATAAGGGACAAAACTTGCTTGTGCTTGGGAAACCCTACTTTTTGATTAACCTTCTTTGGGATGGTCTCTTTATAGTGCATTTAAGTTTCATAGTAGAAAGATGAAACCAGGTAAGGAAAACCTAGACACTTTAATTGCAGTGTTTAAATGACCGCTTCTCTTCTAATTCTCTTGGACTACTACAGAAAAAAAATTCTAAATACCTTCTCCTTGGAGCCTCTAAATACTGTATTTTAAAAGTGGTCATCTTTGTCTTAAGTCTCTTTAAAAACATTGATTTTCTTTTAGTCTAATTTTTGCATAAAGGGAAGAGGCTTAATAATAATTATCCCATCTCATAAATTGTGAGAATGTGTATGATTTTCAAGGACAACTGCTTGTCACCGTGAAGAAAAAAAAAACACAAAAACTATTTACAACAAAGAAGAGGAATTTGGCTGAGAGTCACAATCTAACATCACCATAAATTTATCTAGAACTTTGTAGCTGTCAGAGTGTTTTATCTCAATTGATCCTCAGAACCTCCTTTCTCCCTTTACACCCTCAAAAGTTTAGTATTGTAACATGGAAGTGTCACTCCTCTTAGAACTCAGTTCTAAATAATTACTGAGCCAGCCTCACAGTCTTATGTGCATGGTGTTCTTTGATTCCCATGGTTTCCTATTAAATCAGCTAGAGTGTAGGTGATGTGGAACTCTGAAGCGTTTTCCCTTGTGAATGAAGAGAAGCCATCAATGCCCTCAGTTGATTAGAGTATAGGCCTCCATGTGCAATGTCCACCACAATCTTTGGTTCGTTCCTCTGTTCTACATTTGCTGCTCTCTTTCCACCTTCCCCAAAAGCTGTCTAACCCTACATGGACTATGACATAAGAGAAAAACAAACAGCAAAGTCTTATCATCTTCTCTTTGGAAAGACTGTTTCCCATTCCAGGACCCTTTTGCATTTCCCTTTTGGGGTGGGGTGAGAAGGGATTGGAGGATGCATACTTCTACACACAGCAGTGTCCATTGGGTCCATATAAGCTCACAGTGGACCCCCCAGACAGAAGTGAAGAAGTGTTCTCTTTATTGACAAAGTAGTTCTTCTTTTCTCTTATATTCTGTAGGATCTTTCTGAGTTCTGGGTTGCAATCATTAAGAGGAGGAAGATAAAATTTTGTGCTTGTTTTAACCAAGGAGAGGCTTGATCAGCCAGGATATTGGCACCTAATGATTTCAACGTATTTTACTGGAAGATTTCTCCTATATAAATAAAAAATATAAATATTTGGTAGAATGACTTAAAGCTAAATGACTTGCTTTTTGTCTAACATCACATATAAATGAAAGGTTTTATTTTTAATGTGAGAGCATTTTGTGTATTCTATTACATTCTCTGAAAAGAAAGTTTTCTTTTTTTTATTCTTATTTTTGCACCCTGTTTTGTTTTTAACTTTTTTACTGTTTAACATAATATAGCACAATTGCATTGAAAGATGTGGACACTGTGACACTCTCAATAGATAGGATACGACATTCACTAGCTAACTAAAATGCATATAATTGATTTTTGTATACATGTTTTAATGAATAAACTTATTAATATGTTTGGCTTTTTTCAATCTGTCATCTTTTCTGTATAGTACTGGCATATAATTTTTAGACATTTTAAAGTGTGCTGTTACTTAGAAGAAGAGCAAATGTTTTTGAAATTTTACCATTTTCTCGCTTTTCCAGAACTCAAAAATAATCAAAGGATAAATAACTTCTAGACAGGAGGAAATTCATTGTTTTATGTAGGTCTGCCCTCTTGTGTCTGTACTAGGAAATCTTGATCTTATTTTATTTGGGGAAAGTCACTGAAAACAACCTACAAAATCAAAACTGCTTATAATTAGATTGTTTTATGGTCATATCAATCATGAGCAATTTCACTGAGTTCAAGAAGGTTCATTTTAATGTAGGTTATTTGCATTAAATAAACATTTTGGACGAGATAAAATAAAAAAGACAACATTAAACATTTAAGAATTAGTTCAGTTTTGGTACCCTGTAAAGTAAGATTAGAGTTTATTCTACAGTAGAAAGTATTTGAGCATTTGGTATTTTAAAATGTTTAAATACATAGTTCATTATATCTTACTCTTTACACATCATGATAAACAGAATAAATAAGTTGCATTTAAAGAATGGGTTTTTGTTTTACAATATAATCTAAGGTACATTACAATATAATCTAAGGTACAGTATTCTGTAATCCTCAAGTATAAGGTTTTAATTTCTGTTAAAGGCAGAATGAAAAACAAAAAAATTCTTTATTTCTGTTTGACTTAGGAAAAACTCCATAACCTCACAGCTTATGGTTTGAAGTTGATGTTGTAATGAGCAACATAATGAAAAGGATAGAACTTATTATTGTAAAATTTCCACTTATTTTTTAAGATCATTGCAGCTAATTACAGAACTTGGTTATTTTTTGCATGGGTTATTATTGACACCAGTGGAGTGAATGCATTACTTCTTGTTTATAAGCTCTTCTAGTTGATGTTAGGGATATCCAACCCATAGATGAGGTTTCACTCAAGAAATCCCTCTGTTAGTAAGAAACCCCTTTTCCCTCTGTTCTCAGATAATCAGTGAACCAAAATTTTCCCCCTTCCTGTCTCCAGTACCCCTCAGGGATTCAGAAAAAACTTAAAAGCAATATTTCCTTCACTATTTTCTTAGTAGCACTTGTGTTACAAACCAAGGTCAGCACTGACTTTTCCAGTTCTTTTAGCAACCATATTTTGGCAAATCGTAGGAAATTACATATTTTCTACTCCTTTAATAATTACTATATCGCTAGTATGTCTTGAACGTAAGTTAAAATTATCGGATTGTGCAATATAGGTGTAAACCATTTTAGACTTAATTTTAAACTGAGTCAATTTAAATTACCAAATTTTGGTGAATATATTTTCTAAACCAGTTTTTACTTCTATTGTTTAATGAGTTGTTGGAAGATATTTTTAAATGACTAGAGGAGACTAGATTAGTATTGCTGGATCTATAATTTAGCGTAATTGAGTGGCCTACCAAATATGTATTTACCATCTGGGTGATAGATTAATGAAAATAGCTAAGCCCTATCATAAACAATAGTGGGATAAAAAGTTCATTTCAAGGGCTTCCCTGGTGGCGCAGTGGTTGAGAGTCCGCCTGCCGATGCAGGGGACACGGGTTCGTGCCCCGGTCCGGGAAGATCCCACATGCCGCGGAGCGGCTGGGCCCGTGAGCCATGGCCGCTGAGCCTGTGCGTCTGGAGCCTGTGCTCCACAACGGGAGAGGCCACAACAGTGAGAGGCCCGCATACCACAAAAAAAAAAAAAAAGTTCATTTCAAAATTTAATCAAAGAATTTGTTAATTTTGGAGAGATAGTTAAAAATTTTATTTTTTAATGCTGGAAATAATATTTTTTCTTTTATTCTGTTCCTTGCCTACATTGAGTGTGAGATTAGAACAGAAGACCACCTGTAAAATCATTCTGATGTCTTAAAATTTCATGATTCCAGAGATACAGTGTGGCAGTTATGTGCTCTAACTCAGATAATTAGCTATAGTGCCTTAAATTAAGGTTGATTCTGTTCTATTAGTGTATTAGTATTTATGGCTAATCACAATGTCAGATGTTAAATTAACCAACAGTTCTTGTCTATTGATCATAAAGTCCTAGAGAGAACAGATTTACAGTTTACCTACATGTGCTAAAATTCTGTAATTCTTTGAAAAAATTAGTTAAATTTTACTTATGTAAGGGTATGATCTTGTTTTTTTTAACTTGATTCACATAAACTTAAAATATTAGAGTAGTATACAAAAAACGTAATTTCTATTTTAGAATGTAGGTTCTGATAGAATTACTACAAAGACTTCTGTATGATGATAGTAAAGATAACAGATGTTAGGGCTGTTTCAAATGATGACATTTCATTTGAATGATTATTTTGATATATTTGGTAAAGACCTGAAAAATACTTAATAAACATCAAAGAGGCTTTTACAGTACAGTATAAATTATATTTACCCCCAAAGAGTGAAGCTAATACTTTATATATGAAGTGAACTTGTTAGCAGTGCAATTTCAAAATTAAACCCCAGTTCATCCTTAGGAAAGATTTGGGATAGAAACTTATAAGCTCTTTTGAGAAAATTAGCAGTTACATTATAGTCATTTTAAAGTTAATTTTTTAAAATAAAGCCCTTTTTATGTTTACAACATCCAGCAGATGAATACATTTGCTAACAATTTGTTTTGTTCCAAATCTTGACCTTTTCACAAAGAAATTCTTCTACTTAGGAAGTGGTCTCTTATGTAGTATTGTTTTCCCTTCTTCATGGGATGATAGATTTTAAGCTGATGGTGGTAAGTTGCAGCACTGGAGATTGCAGCAGAACTTCAGAGAAGCATCACGATGATGCAAATCAGCAAGAGACATATTAAGATGAGACAGAAATTGACAAATAGGTTCTGGAGATTTTGACGTGCGTGTTGAGGCACGTCAATGGTTGAAGCTCTTCTTATAGCAGAGCGAGTGAGGTATTGGACTTTATCCATGACACCAGGACGGCAGGAAGCCTGAAGTTTTAAACGGTCAAGAGAAAGATAAAAAGCTGCCAGCCAAGTGTGAGATCACTGTCTTCTTTTAGGTTGTCTGGAATGTAAAAATAGAAAATGGATTAGCATAATATGTGTAACCTATCCTCTGAACAGGCAAAACAGTTTTGCGTTAATCCCTCTTCCTCAACATTATTTGTATTTATGGCATCAAATATCTCTATAGTCTGTGTGTGTGTTGCTCTGTCTCTGTCAGTCTGTTTTGGTGATGGTCACCATGATGTCTTGTATTTGGGGTGTAATAACTTTAGTCTTTGCCTCCTCCTCTCAAAATGACTGGAAGTATAGTTTGGTTAGGGTGCAGCTTGTTTTGGGCTATTCCCTTGGGCAAAAGTTCTTACATATAGTTTATTTTTTTAATGAATTTATTTATTTTTGGCTGTGTTGGGTCTTTGTTTCTGTGCGTGGGCTTTCTTTAGTTGTGGCGAGTGGGGGCTACTCTTCGTTGCGGTGCGTGGGCTTCTCATTGCGGTGCCTTCTCTTTTTTGTGGAGCACGGGTTCTAGGCGTGTGGGCTGCAGTAGTTGTGGCACGTGGGCTCAGTAGTTGTGGCTTGCGGGCTCAGTAGTTGTGGCTTGCAGGCTCTAGAGTGCAGGCTCAGTAGTTGTGGTGCACGGGCTTAGTTGCTCCATGGCGTGTGGGATCTTCCCAGACCAGGGCTCGAACCCGTGCCCCCTGCATTGGCAGGCAGGTTCTTAACCTCTGCACCACCAGGGAAGTCCTTACATATAGTTTTATTAAGGCTTTTTCTCTGTGAGCATAATTTTTGTGAACATTAGTATATAACTAGCTCCAGAGCAAGTCGTATAATAAGAAATGCATGCATTCAATTATTCTCTGGATGTTGATTTCACTCCAGAATAAAATAGTTCAATGAGCAGTGTTTTACCAGAACTATAGATTCAAATGTTTCTCATTCCTTTTTATGATTTTATAGCTTTGTAGAATATGCTATTTTAAGTAACTTTTTAACAAGATGATATTAAGTACTGAAGGCTGTCAAGACTCAGAAGGCATAGTAATAAAATTATCATTATCTCACTGTCTAGCACAGACAGTTGCTATTTGCAAAGGACCTGTACTTAAGAACAGCATTTCCATTTGTTTTCTTTCAGAGCTCCCACAAGCTATTCTGCCTAATTAATTAATTAGTTGCTGCCTAATCAATTATTGGTGCTAATTAATTAACAAAACAAAACTTAAAACAACAGATCATTGTAGAAAATTAGATATAGATTAAAAATTAGCTGTGAGTTAACTGCCCAGAGATAATAGCTATTAACATTTGGTGATATTTGTTGTCAATCAGGATACGTCTGTGTAAATTTTGAAATAAGAAAAATTAGAAATGGAATTTTAAAAATAACTGTAATTAACTGCCAAAGATAATAGCTGTTAACATTTGTTGATATATCACTGCTAATCAAGATATTACTACCTTACCCCAGCTGCCTGATTTCATTTTCTCTCTAGTGGCTATATGTCTCATGAAAACCCATCTCAACCTTCAGCTGTATTTCTGAGAGAGACTAGTGCTGAAGACAGCAGAGGGAAGAACTGAAAGAATGAGGAAGGGGAAGATATATATTAGGACTGATCAGTTAGAACTCCTCATTTATTGTTACAAAGAAACCATGTGGTATATGGTGGTTAGATTCTATATAATTTCAGCACTTCAACTTGGCTCTATTAATTTTTTTTAACATCTTTTTTGGAGTATAATTGCTTTACAATGGTGTGTTAGTTTCTGCTGTATAACAAAGTGAATCAGCTATACGCATACATATATCCCCATATCCCCTCCCTCTTGCATCTCCCTCCCACCCTCCCTATCCCACCACCCTAGGTGGTCACAAAGCACCGAGCTGATCTCCCTGTGCTATGCAGCTGCTTCCCACTAGCTATCTATTTTACATTTGGTAGTGTATATATATGTTTGAATTATGGGCTTTCATTTGGCTGAAGACTCTGGTCTCCTTCATAGTATTGGCCTATAGTGAGGAGATCCAAAAAACCAACTTAGGTCAAACTTCATTCTTTCAAAGAGTTGGTAACAAACTGTGTTTCTCTAGCGCATATATATATATATATATATATATATATATATATATCTTTAGCATATATTCTTCATTCTCCAACACAAGTGGCTGTTACTTAATAGAAAATGACAGCATAATCTTGGTATAAATTTAATTTAATTACTTTTTTTTTAATTCCTCAGGTAAAATACTATAGAAATAAAGGGGTTTTCTTTTGTTCCTTAAGAAGAAGCATCCTTTAAGTTGTTTCAGCTTATATTTGTTTATTATAGATATAGCGGATTTATACTGTTGGGTAATTGTGGAGAAGGTTTTCTTTGTTACTTTATTATACAAATCTGACTAATCTCTTTATATAGCAGAGTACAACTAAGAAGGTTGTAAAGAATTAGCATTGGTAATTCCTATTTAAACTTAATTTTTGTGAAGTTTCAGGACTTAAATGGTATAAAAGGTCTAAATTTTAAAATTATTGTGAGATATAACATGGAAAAGGAAGAGCAGGCCAGTTATTCATCATGAAGCATATACAAGAGTCACTCCCTACCCTGACACTGGTGAGTGGTACTTGAGTCACATGAAACATGTCACCTTTCCATAAATACTTCATTCCCTTTTATGATTCTGTTCTTTGCACATGTTGTTCTGGCTCTGCCTGGAATGTCTTCCCTCCCCCTGCCTCTACCTTTGATTCTTTGCCAGGCAAACTTCAGTTAATCCTTAAGGCCCAGTTTAAATATCACTTCCTAATGAAACCTTCCATTACTCATTAAAGCAGAATTGGTTATCACCTCTGTTGGATTTTAGTAGGGCTCTGGTATTACCTGTATCAAGATATGGCTATTGGGCTGTGCTGTAATTTTGATTTACATGCCTGTGCCCCCCACTAGAATTCTAGTTCGTGAGTATAAGAAATCACGTGTTTATTTTGTATTCTAGTACTTAGTGCAAAATTAGTACCATTTGAACAAGTCAGTGAAGTTAAACAAGGGTTTTTATGATTTACTTTAATATTTTTAGAAAATTATTAATGATCAAAGATAGTGCTGTGATTAACAGATTAACCATGTAGAAAATAGAATTTGATAAACACATAATCTCCAATATTCTTCTCAAGTCTCTTTCTTTTTGTTAGCCTGAACTGGGTTTTGTACAAGTGGATATTTGGTGTTTGTGAAATACAAAGAGGTGTGCCCTAAATAGATGAGCTATCTAATGATGAATATACAATGAATAGATTTTAAAGATGATCTCATCATACTTCAGCCAACTATTGTTGGAAAAGGATAGTTTGTTCCTGGAGACAAATTGATTATAAAGGAGACAACCAAAGATACTGTCTTATTTCTTGTCAAACTTAGAAATATGTTATAATTCTAAAGTGATTTGTAGTCACTTTATAACCTTATGCTAAAACCAAAACAAACCTACTTTACATGCTGAAATGTTAGCTATATGCATGCAATTTATTGGGCCCAATTTATTTTACAGTGGTACAATCTGCAATGTGTTGAGTCCTAATTCTGCTGAACTTCCAAAATCTGTATGATAATAATTAAGCCAAAATTCATCCCTACAAGATGGGGCTTCCAGTCATATGTTGAGAATTGGAAAAATGTGTGTGGGAACAGCACAGTCCTATTTTTAGAGTTGTCTGTGACCTTCACTACATCATAATTTATGGCATGGTTGTCAGGTGTTTATCTTTTCTTTTTTTTCCTCCTCTGTGGTCACAGCCATCCTATGAGTTTAGAACTCCTGCAGTCTTTTTTTCCTTCTCTTTCTTAGAGCCAAGCTGTTAATGCAGTAGTATTTGGTAGAGAGCCTAGAAAAATAGTTTCACTGTATTTTCATTTAATTTAATCTTTTAGAGCATTCTTTTGGGATAGTCAGAAATAGATTGTGTTGGGGTATTCTGAACTTACATCTGGCCTAAACAACCAAGGAGACTGAAATTAGCTCTACCCCCCCAACACCCCCCTGGGGGGGGCTTTTTAAAAGGATGACAGTTATGTAAGTTAAGTGTTTAGGACAAGAGAAGTAAGGATACTTTGAAAATTAATTCATCATCTGGGCCCTAGTATCAGAATATTGAAAATATGAAAGATGCTTTGATAGGAATTTGGTTGTAGATGTGCCAGATCCCTGTCTCTTGAGTTACATGTAAGAGGCAGAAAAGTACCCACAGAATATCTTGTATGTCTGTGGGCACTGTGATTATTCAAATTTTTGGAAGGATGGGAAGAATAACTCTTTACTGTTCTTTGTAGGATTTATAAAGCCTTTGCTTGTCCGCTTTTCCTCTTTTGCTCAAAAAGATGAAATTGGGAAGTAAATACAGTCAAGTTCAAGATAGTATTCTGTTTTTTTGAAGTGGAAGAAGGAGAGACCAAACTACAGGCAACTCTAATCCTTCAACAGGTATCATGTGCCATGTTAGGCAACATTTTGGGTGCAAGGTACCTTGTCAGCTTCTGCAGTAGTTCTCACTTTGTCTGCATTGATTTCTATTTTTTAAGGTAACATCAGATGCATTCCTGTGCAAAAGGAACCTCAGTAGACTTTTGCAGACTTTTGGTGTCTGCTTTATGACTTGCTAGGCAATTGATACCTTAACGATGTTATATACGCTGAGCAGTAATCCCCACGTGTAATTTAAGCACTTTCAGTGCTTTGCAGAACTTACTGAACTTCAGTTTTTTTTCAGTACTCCCTCTGCTGAAACCATAAATTCCTTAGATTCTTTATTTGTGGTGTTCAGAATTTTGCTTCCCTTTTAATTTTTATCTGCTTGTTTATGCTTTTAGTAAAGTAAACATGGACATATTTTGCTAGTAAATTCAAGTAACACACATCTAAGACTACAGTCTGACAGATCATTTTTTGAAAAATTTTTCCCATTAGGTTGGTTCAGAAGATTAGAATTCTCTATAGATTTGAGTTACAGGACTTGTCTATATTAGGATTATTGGGGGGGGCGTTATTTTTTCCTACTCTTTGCTGTCATTTTCTCAGATAATCCAGAAGCGATTGTGTATGCATCTTTTTTGTTGTGGTTGTTGAATTAAATCAGGACAGTTCATCATTAGATTTGTCATCAATCTGTTGGCATCCAAAAGTTCACTTTGGTAGAATCATTTTCCTTTTGAGATTGCCTAATGCTAATAAACTTGGAAGTTGTATTGGAAGTTATTTTGTGTTAGCAACTTTCCAGAGCTTTGTTGGTCCACACTGGCTATTTGAAAGAATCTTCAAGCTGCTTCTGCCTGGTTATGAGAAGAATTGTGTAAACATATAAAAATCAACATATTCTCCACCCCTAAATTGACCCCATAATAAATTGTTTCCCTGAGTTCAAAGCTCTGCCTTTAGGAAAATTCATTAAACAGCAGCATACAGATTTTCTCTTTGAAATTGGCACACTGCTGTTGCTAGTCTGTAGGCTTGTCTTTATTGTCTGTTTATTATGCTAAGATTATTTGCAATTAAAATATTCTTTTTAACCTTCAGGTTTTTCTTCGGGGGGGAAAAGCATGTGAGGAGGAAGTGTAGAGGAAGTTTTAAGGAAAATGAATGCCAGTTAAATATATCCCCACTAATGTGGGTAAGTTGGCCTCCCTTCTCTCCCTGTTTTGGAAAGACCTGAAGGTGAAATACATTTTAGAAAGCACTAGAGGTCCTCAGTTGACTACAAGTTTACTGGGGTGGAGATGTACACCCAGGCCTCATTTTCTTGTGTTTCTCTGGTAATACATGCTTCGGAGTTATGTAGGGTAAGAACATTGATGTACTATTTCTGGAAATGTTCAAAGAGACTACATATTATCTGATTTAGGTCACTGTAATTTAGAAACATCACTTCCTTGATTTCTGACCTTTAGGTTTTCTTCTTTGCTGGTGTGATCAGTACCGTGTTAACAGTTTAGATGAAAGTTAGTGATTTTCATAGCGTAAATAAAGCAAGATTGCTCTATTCAAGCACTTCAGAACAAATGAGGTTAAATATTTTAAATGGTAGAATGTGAGGAGGTCAGAAATGAAACTTAGGAAAGCCAAGGATTTAATATGGAACTGGAATAAAATACGAAAGTGTGGTTTTTGTTTATGCAAGTGTTCTCCTATCTCCAATTAATTAGTGAGATTAAGAAACAGTACATAACAAAATGTAATTTTTTGAAAAGTTTTGAGGAGAAATTAACCTGAATTTTAGGTATCAAAGCTGAAGATTAAAGACATGAGTATTTTAGCAATAAAACAAATTAAATAAAAAGAAACTTTAATTTGTGCATGTTATTGTTCTTTAAAATCTGTGCAGTTAGTTTGAGTTTTGTCTTCCAGGGTGTATCGCTTAATAACTGAGGACATCTATAACTTTCTTATATTCCTGGCTTTGAAAGTGATCAGAATATTATAAGGCTATTAAGGACATCATACCTCATGCATAAATTTAACTTTAAATGAAATGGAATGGTTTTAAATTAAAATAGAAGTTTGTATCCTCTAACTTTGCCTTTTAGAGTGCCATTTGAGGACTTTCAATTTATTTTGTTTTGCCAATGTCATGATTTATTTTTAAGCCATGTTGATCAGTGGATGAGACGTGTGTGTGCTTTAGAGTCATAAAATCTTGGCTCTTGTCAAGGCTCCACCATTTCCTAGCTCTGTGACCTTGGGCAGTTCACCTTTTTGCATCTGTTCCTAAACTGTAAAATAGAGATGGAGTGTCAAACATATAGGGATTTAAGAGGATCAAATGAAATATTTGTATATGGTGCATTTAGAATATTGTTCAAGAATAAAGAAGGAAGTTTTAATTGTCCTCATTATTCTAGGATTGGTAATAAATATACAGTCTAATTTAGGTACTCTAATTTTTACATTTAATTTTTACTTAAAACTTTAATACATGACACAGTTAATATTTTACCTAATACATTTAATACATTAAAATTTTAATTCTTCTGGGGAACTATTTTGTTTATGTAAATATTCTATCTCCAATTAATTAGTGAGATTAAGAAATAAATAATATCAATAAGTAACAAAATGCAGTTTTTTCTGGAATATTATTTTCCTTTATGTCCACTGAAATACTGTTAAAATAATTTTGATACTTGAGTTTTAGGAAATGATAGTGACATGACTCCTCTTAGTTAGACAGAGTACTCTAGCTCTTTCATGTGTTTTTAAGACTTAATCAATTTTTCATAATTTAAACATCTTTCACATTTCTTCCATTTTATTTCATCAGACACTTTTTTTTTTCTTTTAAGCACTTAGTCTTAAACCACATGAAACAAAGACAGTACTTAAATTTCACATTATGAAAGAGATGAACTAGTTGGGACATTATGTCTGGCACTAGGGCATTATGTTTCAAATTTGAATAACAGTCACTGTAACTATGTAATTTCCGTTAATCTGGCACACGAAGGATAATTTTAATAGCAGAATTTCTGCTCTTTCTAGAAATTAACTTCGTGGAGCAGTATGTGATGTGAAATTTTGGTACTATAAAAGAATTCATGAACATCTCATATGAAGTGTGAGAATGTAATTTGATAGATATTTGAGTAAAAACGCATAAATCTGCTTATAAAACACCTGCACTGAGTGACTCTTGTGTAACATCAAAGGAAAAACATTTTATGAATATGAAGATACTTAGAGGCAGTTAGGGTGCCTCAGTGGTAGACAGAAATTATAAATGCTTTTGCATGCCTCAAGGAAAGCTGCTTAAGGAATTATACAAAGTTCTTATCTATAAAAAGCAGTAGAGTTAACATTGGTCATAAGAACTTAGAATTCTAGAGGTAAATTTTATTTTGACATATATATATATATAAATAAAAATAATGAAATAAAATCAATGTAGTATCCTTTATGCCCTGACTGAAAGTTAAGAATGAAAACACATTTCATATATTAAATTGAGGATAAAGAGTAGAGTAGAATTTAAACAGAAGTTATAAAATTTATGGTGGCATCTCCATTCCTGGGCATTTTTTCATCCTCCTCTCCACCTTCCAAATACAAGAGAGGAAACTGAGGAACACTGGAGGCTAGTAACTTGATAAAAGTATATTCATTAATAGCAAAATAAACATTCATTTGATCAAATTCACTCAAATGAGATACTTAGGAATATTTGTGCTACCAAAATAACGTCTCTTTATTTTTAAAATAAAGAAATTAATGTTCTGTAACTTCAGAAAGAATTTTACATGTTTTTGACAAGTGTTTTGAAATGTCCAAACTTGTTATTTATGATATAATATTGAATTTAATATAAATAACTCAATTTATTAAAAGCTTGGATTTTTTAATAGAAGTTGACTGGACTTAGTTCGTGCTATATGTTCTTAAACTCCACTTCATTAATATTCCCTGTAAAGAATCATAATGATAATATTGGAGTAGTGATGCCAGTAACACAACTGTTCTTAGTATTCCGGATGTAAGCAGACAGCTCAGTCCTACCCTACTTCTCAGCAGAGTAACACATAACAAAATGAAACCATATTTTTGCATGGAGAAATCAAATCACCACTAGTACCAAACATGGTATCATGATTGAAAGATATTTTAATTGGTAGAAATTTACTTTTGAAGAGCAAAATAAAAGTGAAGTTTGAATTAAAATGATAAACCAACAACCAGGACCAAAGATGAATGCTATCTTTATCATTTCTGGGTTAAGTCTTATTCTTACTATCACTGAATGGGTAAGCATTTGTTTAGAAATTAAGCTTTATGTCAGTCAGACATGTTATTATCTAACTTTGAACTGAAGTTTATAAAATATGATTAGCTTTTTAAAAAGCTCAGTAAGTTTGAGCTATAGAAAGTAAGAATTGCCATAATCAGTGAAATCTGTTTCTTACCTTGGCTGTTGTGATGATCACAATATAGAATATTGTAAGTTGTATGAAGTATTATCCGGCGTTTAGCTGGAAAGTTTTCTGACTGTTACCAGAGTTATGGGAACAATTGAAGTAGGTGGAGGAGAAAAAGTGTTCTAGGGAGGTCTTATGATGTCACGCAGGAATTCTGAAGTTATGATTGGTTAGCCATAGTCTTATCACAACCAAACTTTTTAGAATGTCATTTATCTTAACCTTAGGTATGGAAAGGTCATTAACACTTTGTGCCTTTTGTTCTTTATTTTAAAAAGTATATGGGAGGTAAGTGAAAAAGTAAGTTCAGCGTGGTAGAAAGCTCTTTTTTAGAGGTTTATGCATCTTCAGGCTTAGAAGTAATTGTAAACTGAGGGTGATAATGTTGAAGAACTAAAATAAAGTAATAGGAATTTTAATAGAATGAGAATAATAATACTGGCTTAAGCCAAACAGCTTTCATTGAGTTTGTTGTTGCTGTTGCTTTAATACTGCAGATTCATTAGGTTAGCTTCTAGCAAGACAATAATTAAACATTGTCACAGAATCAAATTTTATACCTTTTCCTGACTTATTTTCTTCTTTTCTCATACCTACGTGTGTATGGGGGAGAAGAGTATGTGTGAGAAAGCCAGGCTGAGAAATCTGATTTTGGTTTTAAAAATTTTGTGTTTTCTCAGTTAGGGCTTTAACAACATTTTTATGAATAGTAATTCTCATTTGAACTGATAGATATCACCCCAAGAAAAGTTACTGTTTACACATTTAAGTACTTAGGATTTTTTAACAGCTACATTAACTTACTGTAAAATCTTACTAAAATTCCAATAAGCTGACAGTATCAAGAGTAACTTTCTAGCAAAAAAGAAATAATCACAAATCACTAATCAGTGGCATCCTAGCTAGTGATACTTTATTGACAATAGGTGTGCATGTGTTTGGAAATTTAGTACTTCGGAAAGGGTGTGCCTCATTTAATGCAGTAGTTGTTTTCCTGAAAATTACTGTGTAAATGAAATTTTAGTAAATGGAATGATGTTTTGAACTTCTGAGAACAGAAAAGGATTCCTTCGACAAGCCAGGCATCATTTTCCTGTTTTTTCTAATTTTTTTGTTTATATATTAGATTTACTTAAATCACCACACCTCCAGATTCTAATTCTTAAATCTTGACTGTAATTCTGGAGAAGCTACTTGTTATTTTTAATTTTTAGAATACTTACAGCAGAGTGAACCCAGTCTGCTTCACTCTCTTATGGGTGACTAAAAGCCCTTGCAGCAGCTGCTTATGTGTCCTTAAATGGAGATGATTTTGGCTTCTTCCAAAGAAAGATAAATCCTTTGCTAGAACAAATCTCTTGTTATTTAAAGAATCAACTAAAACTATCAGAAATAACATTCAGCAAAGGCCCTCTGTAAACATTGCTAAGGGAAAATTTTACAACTTAAAAGTAAAACCCCAAATTAAATAAATTGCATGAATGTTTCACAGTTTGCTCAGTGCTATTCAAGCATTTTTTCTTTCAATCATTACATAATGAGGATCTCTTATTATTAACAATTGCCAATGATTACTGAAATACAAAACCTAGGGCCTTGAAATATAACCCTAAAGTGGTTTACAGTAATTTGTCAAAGATGACATAGCTGCTAAGGGACAGACTGAGGGTTTAAATCCAGATCTGTTCAGTTATAATTCTCTGATAGGTTGGCATGCTGTGTGGGGGGAAAGTCATAATCTGGACATGGATTTCAGAGAGTAGTATATGTCAACTAAGGAATTTTAAGATGGAGATAGCTGAATTACTGAAAACTCAAACTATTTTTAGAAAGTCTGCTTTAAGTTCACCTACACATTCATTTGAAAGTGAAGCTTAGGGGATAGATCATTGTAGTTGCACCTCTAGTTCTAAGAAAATAGAATTAGTAATACTTAGTTGTATAAGAAACCTCCACAGACCAAATAAAATATGGCCTAGATATTTCACATGTTGGCAGATTTGCTTAAAAGCATATATAGGCGGGCACACACACCCTTAGAAGGATACTAACAAACTGTGTGTTAGAGTTGGAAAATGGAGATGAAAATTTACTTTTCGGATTGGTGCAAGGGCGGGGAGCTTCTGTGTTTCCCTTTTTCGTTTTGGTTAGCTGCTGCTGCTGCTGAGGATGGTGATCTCTATTATTACTCCAAATGGAGCTCTAGGAAGCGTTACACCTTCGTTTTAGGCTGATTGCCTAAACAGAAAGTTGCTTACCAGGAGCATTGGTGAGCTGCAGTATAGTCAGTAGATTGTTCCTCAAAAATTCCACAGTGAGGGGCCAGAAAGTGGTTTTGGAGACGCTTTGTCAGAATCTTCATTTAGAGTCAGACTATAGTCTGAATCCATTTTTGGTCGCATGACCTTATACAAACTTGTCGAAGCTGCCTTATCTGTGGAATGGGTTTGTTGTGAGGATTTAATGAGAAGAAGTATGTATAATGACTATTAGAGATCTTGCAACACAGTGTCCATTTAGTGTTAGCACTTATTTTCCTTTTGAAGATGATTCTTAATCTGCAGTCCATGGATAGAGTTCAGTGCCCTTTGAACTTGGATAGGAAAAATGTTAGACATCTTTATTTTTACTAAACTCTAAATGAGGTTTAGCATTTCTTCAGTTTTGACTGTAGGCCACAAACTGCAGAAGTATTAGCAGTATGTTTGACTGTCAGCCATTAGCAATCTTAGGTAATTTCATATAGTATAGTTGTTGCAGATAGCTTGAAATACTGCTTACATTCATACCACTTGAAATTACAAAATTAGACCTGCCTGTAAATATATTGTTATTTAATACATTAATAAAGAAGCATAACAGAAACGGAAAATAAAAGAAAAGCAGAAATATTACAACACAAATTTGTTTCTTTTTAAAATATTTATTTCAGTGTAATTTATTTCCTTTCTAATCCTATGTATCTCACTTAATTCTTTCAAGTTTTATTTTATTTTATTTTTTGATATGGACCATTTTTAAAGTCCTTATTGAATTTGTTACAGTATTGATTCTGCTTTCCGTTTTGGTTTTTTGGCCGTGAGGCATGTAGGATCTTAGCTCCCCGACCAGGGATGAAACCCGCACCCACTGCATTGGGAGATGAAATCTTAACCACTGGACCGCCAGGGAAGTCCCTAAAGTTTTATTTTAGAACAGTTCTAAATTTACAGACTTATTGCAAATATAGAGAGCTCCTGTATACCCCATACCCAGTGTCCCCTGTTGTTAACACATCCTACATGAGTATGGTACATTTCTCACAGCGGTTATACCAGTGTTGATACTAAAGCCCATACTTTATGCAGATTTCCTGTTTCCCCTGGTGTTCCTTTTCTTGCCCAGGATTCTTTCCAGGACACCAGATTACATTTAGTAGTCGTGCCTCCTTTGGTCCACTTGGTTGTGACCGTTTCTTACAGAATGTCCACAGTTGGGATTCGTCTGATGTTTCTCTCATGGCTAGGGCTGGTTAATGTGTTTTTGAGAGGAAGATCAGAGAGGTAAAGTGCCGTTTTCATCATATATCGAGTGTACAAACTATCAGCATGACTTACCGATGTCGTTAACCTTGATCACCTGGCTGAAGTGAAGTATTCGTCAAGTTTCTCCATGGTAAAGTTACTCTTTTCCCTCTCCCTCCTTACTGTACTCTCCAGAAGAAAGTTACTATGCACAGCCCACCCTTACGCTTCACTACCTTAAGAGTGGAGTGTCTATAAAAATTACTTGGCATCCTATGTATTTTATGACATAAAAACATTGAGAACAGGTCAGTAGGCTTTAGCTGTCTGCCAAAAAATGTCCATGGCACAAAAAATTAAGAAGTCCTATGCTGGGGGTTGTTTCTGTCGTAGTATGGGGCAGCCCTTTGTGGAAAGAAGACTGAGTTCTCAAACAGGCTAAAATCCAGACCTCCTAGTTTGCTTTTTTAGGCACTGCTTTTCCAGCTTTGTCTCGTATCACATTCCCTTGTATCCTGTGCTGTGGCCTTGTACAGCTGCCTGCGGCTTTTTGAACAGGCTGTTGTTCTATTTTAAGTCTCCTCACTTTTTGTAGGAATGTCCCTTACTAACCTTTATTCCCATTAAAGTGCTAGTTTCAATTTATGTCTTCTGTGCAGCCCTCTCTTATGCTATATACTTTTGCATGTTACCCCTATTATTATGTCTCATTTTATTGTGTTTATTAGTATATCTGCCTAGACTAGATTCCAAGCTACTTGAGAACTATCCAATAACTCTTATGTAACTATAACTATATATAACTTATATGACTCTATAACTATCCAATTTATACCCTCTTTATTCCTTATAGTATAGAACCTGGCTTATAGCAATTCGTAAATATTGGCTGAATGGATGATTGGATGAGTGAGTGAATAAAGGGGGACGAGGAAAGATTGCAAGGTGTTAGTGAATGAGTGATTCTGCAGAAGTAAGTGTTATAAACAGTTAAAAACTTCTTCTCACTTTTAAAGCTCATCATGGGGGAGGAGGAGAATAATTGGGAGAGATTGGGGATAAGAGTACAGTAACTGAGAAAATAAACTTTCTTGTCATTTAAAGATGATGTAAGTATATTTGTAAAGACTGAAGGAAGGTGGAACCATAAGCCCATGCTTCCTGAATTGAGCCTCTAAATTTTTTTTTAATTTTTGTTTTCTTTGCTCATTGGATTCATAATAATTCATGTTACTTTATATACTCTTAATATTGCAAGACCTGCTTTTATTTATGTAATTATTTAGTTTTTATTTTATTTTAATAGTGAAAAATAAAAGCACCTCTAAGATTACCACCTGAACATAAGCTGGGATGTTAATAACTTATACCTAACCACATGGTCTTGCCATGTTCCCCCTATCTTCCCTACCCAAGTAAATGATTATTCTGATTCCTGGGTTAAGTTCTTTACATTTGTTTTTATAGTTTTGTGGCATTTTAAATTATGTATTCCTTAAAAGTTCTTATAATTTTACTTAACTCTATGTAAAGGAAATTGTGATGTATAAAAATCTTTT